CAACGGCAGCCGGTGCGGCCCTGTCGGTTGGGGTTGTTCCTAGTGTTTGGGTCCTTACGGGCGCTTACGACTAGTATAATAATAGATTCTTAGCTGGCTAGGTCAAAGACCACAGAAGAAGATTCTCACCACTTTTCTCGGTGAAAAAAAAAAAAAACCAAACCAAAAAGTGTACAGGGGCTCCAGAGATAGTTTCTAAAGTGAAGACTCCTGGGACTCACCCTAAAAGATGATGCAATAGATCTGGGGTAGGGGCCCTGCATCAGAGTGCATAACAAGCACTTCAGTGGGAAACGCTGCACCAAGCTTCAATTCCTTTAACTGTAGAATGTATGGGGTAATCCATTTCAGCACCATAGTAACAGTGTAGAGCCATGGTTCTCAGCCTTGGCTGCACATCAGCAGCACCGGGGGATATGTAAAAACCAATGATGGCTGGCTGGGGCCTGGCAACAGAATTTTTAAAAGTTCGCAGATGGTCTAATGTACAGCCAGGACTGGAACCATCGCTCTAGGATAGTGGTTCTCAAAGTGTGGTCCCTGGACCAGGGGCATCAGCATCCCTTGGGAATTTACTAGAAATTCCAATTCTCAGGCCCCACACCTGCTGGATCTGAAACCCTGGGCCTGGGGACCAGCAACCTGAGTTTAGCAAACCCTGCAATTCAGTCTGATGCATGTTCAGATTTGAGAGCCACTGTCCTAGAACAACAGGCAACACCACACACAGCACAACTGAGATCAACATTGATGCTAATTCAGTTATCCTCTCAGATGAACAGCAGTGCCAACAGGCAAACCTCCTTCAGGCTCTGGGCAGGGCCAGCCTGGGGAAGGGGGCCTGGTGTCCCACCGTACTGAATTCCAACCTATTTTAGCAAACCTTTCTCTCTTCTTCTTCATTGTTATTGTTTATTTATTTATAAATTTTTATTAAAGTATAGCTGGCATACAATAGTATATTACTCTCAGGACTATAGCATAATGATTAGACATTTATATGCCTTATAGCAAATCTTTCTATAGAGCTGATTCTGAGCCAGGCACTGTTATAATTACTTTCCATATATAAACTATTTAGTCATCATAACAGCCCAGGTACTCTTATTATTATCCTTAGTTTTTAAAAATTGATTGATTGATTTTGGGGGGGGGGGGAGGAGAGAGAAAGATTTGTTGTTCCACTTTTTTATGCATTCATTGGTTGATTCTTGTATGTGCTCTGACCAGGGATCAAACCTGCACCTTTGGCATATCGGACGATGCTCTAACCAGCTGAGCACCTGGCCAGGGCTTATTATCCTTGGTTTATAGCTGAGGGAACTGAAAACACACAGAAAGGTTAAGTAACTGGCCCAAGGTCACACAGTTGGTAAATGATGGAGCCCCATGTTCAAACCCAAAGTCCAAACCCAAGTTTATTCCTTTAACCACTTGGCCTCAGAGAAAACAAATTTCAGCTGATCTGCCATTGAGGTGCCAGTATTTATTTCACCAGGGCCAAAGCATATTCTCCATGGCCCCTGTCTTTGAGATTTCATAAATATTGAAGGCTGATTTCTCACTCACTAAAGGTTAATAGCAATCAGAACCTCCTAAATTGTATAGTAAAGATTTGGGGTGAAGTTAAAAGTTGAAAGTCACATGGCTCTAAGGGAGGGGGAAAAGACAAGAGAGGAAGATTCAAGTGTTTCCTGGAGACATCCCAGTGCCTAGGGTTGGTCTGAAAAGGGCTACCTCGACATACCAGCAGGGGGCGCTCTCAGCCCTAAGTGTAGCTTCTAAAACCTTAGAATAACCATTGCTTAAACTGATGTAACTTTCTGTTCCCTTTTAAATATGAAAATCCTTGACTTTGTTATTGATGTTATGGAAATTATTTCCTCCCATATATATTTCTGACCTCTCTGTTTACTTCACAGCAGAAAGACTACTCTAGTTTTCTACCAAGAACAAGCAAGATTAAGACAGCTGAAGGTGACTGTGTTTCCAGGACCCCAGAGGAAGAAGGTCTTTGAAGAGAAAGTCTCACTTTTTAAAATGTCCTCTAAGGCTGTGTTGACCGTGCTTAAGTGTTGAAAGTGAGCTTCCTACCATCAATAAAAGAAATTTTACCCCTTCCTATTTTTGTGACAATAAGATGGACCCTCTTCGTCAAGACTACTTCAGAACTTTGTTAAACTCAAGATGAAAAAGAAATGCGAGCCAAAGCTATCCTGTTTGTTTTAATGACTCATAAATGACAAGTGGCAAATCCAAATCAATTAGTAAGAAGCTTGTTCTTTCCTCCATTCCCCTAAAATAGACGTTTACCTGGCTCCGTGACGTCTTTTATATGTTCTGACACGACACGAATGAAAGGCTCAGCAGAAAGCGCTATAAATGCATTTGGAATGAAGTTCTGAAGATGACTCATCAGCTGAGGAAAAGATGGCTCTAAGAAATGGAATCATTGAAAAAAAAATTAGGACTTTACTGGTGTGTCCACAGCACCAAAGCAAGGAGGGGAGGAAATATTGATTTGTTTCCTTACGTAATTCTGAGCCTACTACTGTGGGTGTTACTCAAAGTAATACAGAGTTCTCTATTTCTCTACTCTTGTCATTGTATTCTGCCCTTAGAATACTAAATTCAGTTCAGTGGTCATCATGCTATTTTGATTATTTTTATTTTGGAAAGCAATGGGTATCAGTATCAGATACCTTGTAAGTCTCTTAGCTTTACAAATACGTATACTTAGTCATTAGATTTTTCCTTATCCAGTTTCAGTTTATGATGATAATTAATGTAATATATATAGAATTATGACCACAATAAGGGAGAAGGACAGAAGAATCTATGAAATGTAATTAGATGAAGTGTAATATTCTGATGTTCTTTTCTAACTAGGTTGTGTAACTAATGATGCAATAAATATGAAATATATTCCAGTGAATATAGAATTTACTGATGGAAATTCTCCGAATAATAATTTTGAAATATAGATCTATTAAAGCCCATAGTATTTATAAAGCAATGCCTGAAGCCATAACTTCTAGTACTATAAAGTTTTATATTTCTGTTTTAGAGTGTAGTAGGAAATTTTGGCAGGGGACATCATAAACACCCCACATCGTCCATGGTAAGTATATTAAGGGGTTAGAATGCATTTTTAGATGAAACGGAAACTTATCTGCCATTTGGCTAACTTAAGAATAGTCGAAGCCTGTTTCCTTTTAATAGCAAACACCTACTCTGTGTAAGGGACTATTGTAGACACTAGGAATGTAAAGAAAAATTGTATTGGGGAGGGGGGTGAGAAGACGCATATATTAGGTTGAACTATATGCACTTGCCTTTGTGGAGGCCAAAAATAGTTGACTGTTGTCAATTTGTTATGTTTCAACTTGACACATAAGAGTGAGGAATCCCAGGCAGCGTGAAGTAGGGGTCCGATGTGGAGTATGGGCCTGTGTGTGAAGGGAATTTGGGGACGGTCAAGAAAGCCCAAGGGGAACACGGACTTTGAAGAAAGAGTGGAGCCAAGTGGAGGCCGAGTTGGGGCACACACAGAAAGGGAAGAGAGACACCAGTGGGAGAATGAGCCGCTCCGTGCTAGCAGTTTTAGGTTCAGGGAGCAGTCCGGAGAGAATGCTAAGACGAAGAGGGATCAGTGCGCATGCGAAGGCAGCAGCCTCGTCACATAAGTCAAGCAGTTTATCCCTTATTTGAGGGTGGCAGACACAGAAGCGTGGTATTTGTTCATTTTTTTTAACACGTAGAGATGATCATCAATATATATCAGAACGTGAGAAGAAAATACAAGTAATGAAGGGCATTCACAGTATATTCTATGAAGAATAAAGGAACTGGGATAGTAGAAAACAATTCAAAATTTACTTTGCACAATGGCACGTGCTGTTCTGAACACTTCTGTGAGAGAAGAGGGGCCATTAGCCTCTTTCGGGATTACGGGGCCTGTTTTCACCTAGGGCCGTGGTCGGCAAACTGCGGCTCGCGAGCCACATGCGGCTCTTTGGCCCCTTGAGTGTGGCTCTTCCACAAAATATCACGTGCGGGCGCGCATGTACAGTGCAATTGAAACTTCGTGGCCCATGCGCAGAAGTTGGTATTTTGTGGAAGAGCCACACTCAAAGGGCCAAAGAGCCGCATGTGGTTGGGAACCTGCAGTTTGCTGAGCTGCAGTTTGCTGACCACTGAGGGGAGCTGGTGGGTTGGAATCACTTCTGGGTCAACACCTATCATTATTGGGTAAAAAGTCTGAACTCCAACTGCCAGAGTGGCTTTCCCCGCTGCAGGCCCTGGGAGAAGATGCCCATCACCCCTCCCGGTGAGGACCGCAGTCTTCAGGTGGTATTGCTGGGGCGTGACCTTCCCAACAGCACAGAAGACATCAGGCAGCGCGTGACCTTTATAAAGGTAAGCAACTCTGGCCCTAGCCGATTTGGCTCAGTGGGTAGAGCATCGGCCTGCAGACCAAAGAGTCCCAGGTTCGATTCTGGTCAAGGGCACATACCCTGGTTGCAGGCTCCTCCCCGGCCCGGGCCCTGGTCCGGGCATGTGCAGGAGGCAACCAATCGATGTGTTTTTCTCACATCAATGTTTCTCTCTGTCTTTCCCTCTCTCTCCCACTCTCCCTAAAAATCAACGGAAAAATATCCTCAGTGAAAAAATAATTTAACAACAAAAAATTAAAATAATAATAAAAAGGTAGGCAACTCTTGAAATCCTTCAAGTCACTTCTAAGGGGTGTGGCACAGCTTGGGAAATTACCAGGATAGCCTTCAGTCCATAGATTCGCTCCTCATTACCCCTGCAAAACGGTCCCCAGTCAGCCAGATTTTCTCTGGATACATTTACATGCACCAGTATCACTGCTCCCACATCTTCCAGACATGCATCTCTGTTTCTACTGCTGCTCATACTCCTAAAATAAACTGGCATAAGCTCTCGGCCCATAGACAAACACACTTGAGTTTGAAAATCTCACAAGAATCATAATGAGAATGAAGGGCAGAGCTGAGTAAATTGTGGTGAGGCCCAAGGCCTGAGCTCTTTGGGTCCTGTGCAGGAAGCACATGCAGGCTTTATGTGAGGATCTGACATGCTCGCCAAAGCCAGGTCTCGGTCTAGGTCAGTATGCGCTAAGCTTATGGCTTGCACACATCCCCCCACGGAGGATGGGGAAGCAAATTTTATGTTCCATATCTAAGTTAGAAATCACCTTGATTTCACCCTCAAGGTAAATTTGAGAAGAGCTAAGGGATCTTAATTTGTGGAAAACCAAACAGGTGCCAAGCCTTGGTGAGAAAATAGCGGCCAAATTGATCCTACAATACAAAACACAACAAAACTCAGCAAAGGAGACCGCTCCACTTTTCTGGATGGTTCTTGGTCATCCCTCCTCCTGCAGTGTGTGGTCAGTGGTCCACCGGGCTGCTGAGGACTCGGCATGGCGGGAAATGGAAGGAAAAGAACTTCTCTCCTTTATTACACTGGTCTCAATCCTATCATCAGTGATCCCAAGGGGGAAAAAATATTAAGAAATTTGGTATAATTTTTAAAATATGTTTTTATTGATTTCAGAGAGAGGGAAAGAGATAGAAACATCAATGATGAGAGAGAATCATTAATTGGCTACCTCCTGAACGCCCTCTACTGGAGATCGAGCCAACAACCTGGGCACGTGCCCTCGCTGGGAATCGAACCAGTGACCTTCTGGTTCATAGGTTTGACACTTAACCACTGAGCCACACCAGTGGGGCAGAAGTTAGGTGTATTTTGATGGCTCTCATCACCCCAAAATAAGATGTGCTGAGTTAACTTACAAAAAGTATGGGATGGGTAACTGATAATCCCTTATAAAATGGCTTTTAATTCTTATATTTGTAGTCTCCCCCCCCTCCACTTTATTTTTTTCTGTGTTAATCTTTTGTTTTATTTATTATTTTTTAAGTATTTATTGTTAAAGTATTACATATCACACACTTTACTGAGGTATAATTGCACTTGGCATATACATTACTTTCTAATAGTTATTTGTTGTATTCTTTGTTATTGTTGTTGTATTCTTAAGAAGTAAGTCATTTGTATAACGATTTTCCAGGCAAGAAAAATTAGAGCTTTAGGAAAAGTACATGGTGAACTGGGGTCTTTGGTGTAGCCCTCCCTAGCCCAGGTCCTTTCTGTAGGGGAAAGTCTGTAGCTCACCATATGGGCTTTGCTTGTGTAACATCTTGGAAAAGGCTAGACATTCAGTTGATTTAAAGGCACCGACACTAGGGCTTTTGCACTGTTCTCGCGCCGAATGTGGTTTCTCTCCTGGAAAATGGGAACACAGAGTTGGCTGTGTTTCCTAACGGGATTTCCATCTGTCCCCATGAACACATACTTCGATGCAGCAGTTGTCTGGGGTGGAGACGCCGGAGCAGCAGGCTGAAAATGGTACGTGTGAGTTGGCTTGGCTGTGCACACGCGCGCTCTGATTCTCCCTGGGAACTGGGCCCTGCAGAATCTCTGGGGCGCCCCAGTCCTTTGGAACAGGGTCCCGTGTGCAGAGGAAGAGATGATGCAAATCTGCTGTTTCTGGATCCCCGTCCAGGGAAGCGCAGAAATTGATTTTCGGCAGAACAAGAATGACGAGTAAAGCGAGTGAAATGGCAGTTATGCAACATGCACGTTGCAAAAGGCAACCACTTGGAGACAAGTTCTAATCAAAACTCAGTTAGCTGTAGAGCTGATTTGCAGACTTTGCTCCGCAATAGCTGGTGGAGCATCACGCTTTCAGGAGGCACGAGGCCAGCAAGTCCACCTCCTGTGCAGAAGGAAAGCAGATCCACGGCCCAGCCCCTGGAGAGCACCAGGTTAAGGGAGAAAATAAGAAGATTGTATTTCAGAGTTTATTTTCTCGTCTCAACTGAATACCGCATGATAGCGGTTACTCCTAAGATTCTTGCAGGTAACTGGATTTCCATCAATTGTGTATGTAAGCATTGCTAGTCTTTTGCAATTAACTGTGGGTTGCTTCCCCTTTTTCTTGCCTCATCTCCTCTTTTCCCTTTGTCAAAATTAAAGCTGGTGACATGTAGTCTGGGGATCACAATGAAGATAGGCTGAGACCTTAGACAGCGAATTATCTGTAGAAAAGCCCTAAAACCTTACAGCCCTATTGCAAACTCCCTTACCTTGGACTTGAAAAACAAAATCCTCCTGGATTATTGACAAAACAAACAAACAGACAAAAAACAAAACTAAAAGCAACTGACTCCATTTTTTTAAATGGATATCCTGCATTACTTACTCACTCCCCCACCCCCATAAAAATGTAAAAAAATGCCTGTACTTGTTGGTCAGGAGTGTTAGGTTCAAAAGCTGGATTAGTCCAGTGTATTTGCAGACAGTAGTTTCAGAGTGGCATAGCCGTGGCCTTTATCTTGACTTAGGCATCACAGTTTTGTAAAGGCTTCCCTGCCTGAACCCAGCCTCTCACTGGTCACCTTTAAAGGCTTTGCAAAGCAATGTATTTGCTTCAAACTTTGCAAAAGGTATCCCCTTACTAATGATCAGTTACTTAACTTTTAGAATGGAAGGTTGATAAGGACTAATCCCTATATGCAGTATTTTATCTAATATACATGTGAAAATCTGTGCGGGTTCTGGCATCCTATCTAATAAAGACAGAATATGCAAATTGACTGTCACACCTTCACAAAGATGGTGGCTTCCAGTTCCCTCAGCCTCATTGGAGTCCCACAGTCCTTTCAGCCCAGCTGGGGGAGGGGGGTGGAGGGGCGGCAGGCGCATGGTGCGGCCGGACCCGCCCTCAGCCCCCCAGCCGCCCAGGGCCGCCGGAGGCTCAGGTAACCAGGGCCGGCCGAGGCTTGTGCTACCGACAGTGGCAGCAGCAGAGGTGTGATGGGGGTTTCGCCTTCCCCT